CTCCCTCCCTCCCTCATCTCCTCCCACTCTCCAGGTCTCTCAGTGTCCACACAAAGAGGTGTAGCCATCTTCTTACTGCCACAAGAAATTAACCATCAGGGTCTTACCTCTGTCCAGTGTCATTCATTAGATTCTTTCTCTTAATATTTTATTTATTTTATATATGTGAGTATACTGTAGCTGTCTTCAGACACACCAAAAGAGGGCATCAGATCCCATTACAGATGGTTGTGAGACACCATGTGATTGCTGGGAATTGAACTCATGACCTCATCGTTCCAGCCCCCCTCCCCCCCCCAATTAGGTCTTTTCTAACACATAGGAAATCTCCAGGAGAGAGACTTTGGTGCTAGTTTTATGGATGGCACCCCACTCACCCAGCCTTCCTTGTGCCTGCAGAGAAGCCCCGGGGGCACCTCCGGGGACTCTCAGGATCCTTCGTGAACAGAAGGCTCAGTCACTTGCCAGGGCTCTTCAATATTCCAAACTTCGAGAATATATGGTTCCGGGTCTGGAAAGATGGCTCAGTGGTTAAGAGAATGTATAGTTCCTGCATGCCAGGTCTGTGAGACTGAAAAAGGCAGGCAGAAATGCAAAGCTGAAAAGTAGGATGGACTCAGCAGGGCTTCCCAAAACATCTCCTTATAGGATCTGCCTCCATAGAGGACCCAAAGAATGCATTCAATACAGCAATCTTCATCTGGTGGGAGATTACCACCAGATTACCTTCTCTGAACCTCTGAACCTCAATATATATACATACATATGCATATACATATATATATTGAGTTGGAGCTAAAATATCCACTTGAAAAGAATGAGGTTAAATCAGACGAAATAAATGGCAGAAATGCTCAAAGCACATTATGTATCTTCGTAAAAAATGGGTTATCATTATTATAACTTTTATTAAGTAGATCTTGGAGATGATGCTAACTCTTTATTTTCCTTCTTTCAAGTACTAAGAAGCAGCAAAAAGGTGGGTTCTGGGATCTTCCTTGGAAAGAACTTGGAATTCTGGTCTGGAGATGTGGGTAAACCTGTCTGACCACCTGTTTCCTCACTAGTTTACAGGTGGTCTGGGAAGAGACAATAATACAATATTTATTTCCCAGGGTTGCAATAAGAATTTGAAATCATGTCTGTAAAGTGCTGGGCCAGATAGATACCAATCAAACAAAATCTAATTTGTGTTTTCCTCCAGCATCCTGATCCACTCACATCCACCTTCACCCTCTAGGGTCTCTTCTTCTCCTTCTTCTCTTCCTTCTCCTTCTTCCCTTTTTTTCTTCTTCTCCTCCTTCTCCCTTCTTCTCTCTCTTCCTCCTCCTCCTTTTTTATCAAAACTTCCCTGTAGAAGCAGACCCACAAGTCCCTTTTAGACTAGTCCTTCAAACTCTGCTCTGGGCTGTACAATGGCATTTCTTGTACTCAGCAGACCCAGGTTGAGACTTGAAGGCAGACTTGACCCTGAGAAGGAGGCAGGGGTATGCATTGGGGCAGGGGCATCATGTGACCTTGCTTCTTCTCTCACCTCGCTGACACTGCAGCTGGAGTCGGCTGTAGAGCATCCAGAAATCTTCCATCAGGATGGTGGCTGATCCTGGCTGCTGACTGGCATGGGGACCAGAATCTGACCAAGAAAACAATCCATTTTATGGCTTCTCCTGTTAGTGCTGAATCTAGAATTAGAGTCAGTCCTTTCGGTTACAGACTGTTTAATTAGAGGGATGTTTTAGAAATGAGAATCATCTTCTGGGGATACTATTTTGCCTTAACAGCTTAGCATGGGTTAGGATATTTTGGATTGTGCCAGCACAGAGTCATAAAAGGGCCTTTCCCTACTGTTAGACCCCAACTGAAAAAAAAAAATAGCTCTTGTATTTCAAGCCAGGCTTTCAGACTAGAACGTATTCTGTCACCTTCAGACTTGGACTAGAAGCGTACAACAGTTCTGGATCTCTAGCTTGGTGTGCATTTGATTGCAATGTTGTGTTTTGCTTTCGTTTTTTCAGTTCTGGAAATCTGACCTAGTGCCTCATGCATGCTAAGTAAGTGACTCCACCCCCCTCCCACCATTGAGACACACTCTTAGACACACTAACCTACATCTGTAGTGTCTGAGACTTCACAGCATCCATTATCACACAGCTAAGTCCTTGTTATAAACCCCCAGGGCCCTTTCCATTCTGCCTTCCAGCCCTTTCCTGTCTCTTCTCTTCCTGTCTCTATATTCACACCCATACCACACTTTCTGTTTCTCTAAACAGCCTTGACTAATACAGGGGTGGTAATATGTCAGTCACCATTATATCTAGAAATACATATCTCAGTGTGCTGGCTAGTCTTGTGTCAACTTGACCCACAAACCAGAGGTATCTGGAAGAAGAGAACATTGAGAAAATGCCTCCATAAGATCAGGCTGTAGAGCATTTTCTCAGTTACTTATTGATGGAGGAGATGGAGGTGTTCGGCCTGTTGTGGGTGGTGACATCCCTGGGCTGGTGGTCCTGGGTTCTATAAGAAAGCAGGCTAAGTAAACCAAAGGAAGCACACCTGGAAGCAGCATCCCTCCATGGCCTCTGCATTAGCTCCTGCCTCCAGGTTCCAGCCCTGCTTGAGTTCCTGTCCTGACTTTTTCCATCAAAAGACTATGATCTGGAAGAGCATACCAAATAAACCCTTTCCTCCCCAACTTGTTTTCTGGACATGGTATTTCACTGCAGCAATAGAAACCCTAATGAAAACATTGAGATATTAACAAATAAAATGATGTCTGATGCTTGCTTCCAAATAATACTGGGGTGAAGAATGGGAAGAGATTTAGATAAAATCAAACTATCTACTGATTATTGCAACTGCTGAGAGATGGAAGCAGGGTTTCCTTATGCTGTTCTCTCTAGTTTTGAATATGATTCAATATTCTTTAATAAAAAAAATAAGATGGAAGAAAAGAATTGTCTCTGGTGAGTAACAGAAGTAGAGGTAATTGAGAAAGCTACTTTTATTTGTAACAACGTCTATGGAATCATTTGACTAGTATATGTAGGTAAAAAAAATCTTAAAAATTTTAACTGAAGAAGAGCTCCAGTGAACCTAGTGCTTCAAGGTAAATTTAGATTCATTGGAAACATCGATGATTCCTTCTATTCGGCTGAGTTAAAGGCCACAGCTCACATTTGCAACACGTGGTAATGCATAAATGGCCTGTATCAGAACATGCGAAAAAAGACCTGACGTGACAAAATCAAGTCAGACATTGTATGGAGGATGCAAATTATTCATAAAGAAGAAATCAAAACAAGGAAGAGGAGGGGGAATTCTCAAAACCAGTCATAATCAAGGAGCTACAAAAATGGCCTGAGATGCCATCCATACAGACCAGGTTGACAAAAACTATCAAGTCTGGCCACAAGGAGACAGGAAAACTAAAACGCACCTAGTGGGACTACTAGTTTAGAGCTAAAAATTCAAGATATGGCCTATCTCTTTTAAAATGCATCCATAACTGGCTGCTGTGGCATACACCTTTAATCCCAGCACTCTGGAGGCAAAGGCAAATGGATCTCTGGTTTTGAGGCTAGCCTGGTCTTCAGAGTGAGTTCTAAGATAGCCAACACGACACAAAAAAACCCTGCCTTGAAAAACAAAACAAAACAAAACGGTGAATGACTGGAAGCAAGAAGGCATACTGGGTGCAAGAAGATACTGCAATGTGGAAGTCTGGATATTTACGGTCTCTGGGGAAGGTTATAGTATTTTCCCCCTACTGGACAGTTCTAGAGTGGATTTGCATAGAGATAGGAATGATCCAGCATAGAGAAAGAAAATAATTGGCTCACAGACAACAGAATTCTGGAAAAAAGTGGAAGCGCAGGGGGCAAAGCACAAAGGATGAAGAATGTGTGGGATGTGTGGCAAGTAGAACCGTCTAGAAAAGACTATAGTCGGTTATGTGTGTGCGTGGTTTGTCAAGGGGTTCGAAGCAGCTTTGATTAAAAAAGGAAGTTAAAGGGACCTGCGTCACAGACCCTGCCCTCTCAGAGAGGCTTGATCATACTACTGCAGCGCCTAATGAATTCTAACCTACCTAGGGAGTCCTCACAGTGTGAAATCCCGGAGGAGAAAGTGAGTTTCCCAACCAACACCATGTGGAGCCTGCTCCATCGAGCTGTAGCCTTCCTCAGGGCCAGGCGGTATTTACTTGTCTGCCATCAGTTGCTGCCGTTCAGACAGCTCCCGTCACATCAGTGTTGTTGAAGATAATGTAATTATCTTAGTTTATCTTAGCTTCTGTTGTGGCACAGAACGCCTGCACACCGGTCTGTTCTAGTTCTGCACTGCTGGTGACTGACTAGCTCTGTAACCTTCTAAATAATTGACATAATTTCTACAGAGTGGATAACGACACCCCTAGCTCATGAAATGTATCCCCAGAGAGGCTAGAAGTTCAGATTTAGCCTGGAGATGCAAGCTCTATTTGGAATTTCTCCTGCCATGTGCTCTATTCACGCCAGTCTCCGGGGTCTAGCTCCTTCCATCATCTCCCGACCCCCCCTTCCCCCATCCTCCAAGTCACAAACAAAGTCCTCACGTTTCTTCTGCTTCCAAAGCTCCCCTATCCTAATAAAAATGGCTGTCACATCTGGTTCTCCGAAGTCTGTTTCTTTAGGGCATGCTTCTCAGCCATTTGAGATCTTTCACACATGCCTAGGGGTCCAGGCAGCTGCGCTGTGCTGTGTTTGGGAAAAATATCTCTCTCTCTCTCTCTCTCTCTCTCTCTCTCTCTCTCTCTCTCTCTCTCTCCTGTCTGGAGAGAGTCGAGGGACCAGGATGGCAGGGTAAGCGAGGAGTTTGGTGCTCAGCGGATCCTGGCAGCTGGTAAGGGCTAGCTTTTCCCTGTTTTCCGATGCCCCTCCGCCACAGTCCTAACCCAGCTCCTCAGCGCCTCCCTTCAGTACTCCCTGTCTGAAGAGTGCCGCTGAGTCTCACTCCACCCTCCTTTGCAGGAGCCAACCGACAAGCAGCAGCCTCTGGACTAGGAATCCAAGAGCATAAAACGCTCTGAGCTGCCGCGTCTCCTGCCTGTGCTCACCCTCCAGTGAGAGCAGTAAGAGCACGCAGCTTAGCTGGGCTTTCCAGTTCCGGCTGGCAACGCCCATGGTCCTGGACCGCACCTTCAAGATAACTTAGGGACGTCTTCTCTCTCCAATTTCAAAAGAAAGTTTGGACAAAGTGATTTTGGGGTGGATGGCAGCTGCTCCCTCTGCTTCCTCTGTGTCACCTCTCAGAAGCCCCCACTTCCAATCCCCTCCAACCTTCCCATGCTGACACCCAGCTCCCAGACCCTCCTTTTCTTTCTTTGATTTCCGAGCCTCTGTGGGGTCAGGGATGTCGGTTCTGCTCACTACTCCTTTCGTTCTCTCTCTCTCTGTCTGCTGAGCCATCACTCCTTTTTTTTCAAGCCTTCACCCCATCGTCACCTCTCACCTCCCTTCTCTCTATCCACCTCTAAACCTCTCTCACTCCATTTTTATCTATCCAACTTCTTACTTGCACCCACACCGTCCCTCCATCCACCTTCCCTTCCTTCTCTCCCTTAAATCCTAACCATGGATTCTGAGCCTTCTTGGACTGCCATCCCCTCCCCCGGGGGCACCCTGCTTGTCCCCAATGCCACCATACCCTGGCTGGGTAGGGATGAAGAGCTAGCCAAAGTGGAGATTGGTATCCTAGCTACTGTCCTGGTTCTGGCCACAGGAGGCAACCTGGCTGTGCTACTGACTCTGGGCTGCCAGGGCCACAAGCGCTCCCGCATGCATCTGTTCGTGCTGCACTTGGCCCTGACCGATCTGGGCGTGGCGCTTTTTCAGGTACTGCCTCAGCTGCTCTGGGACATCACCTACCGCTTCCAGGGCTCTGACCTCCTCTGCCGGGCTGTCAAATATCTACAGGTACTCAGCATGTTTGCTTCCACTTACATGCTGCTGGCCATGACGCTGGACCGGTATCTGGCTGTCTGTCACCCTCTTCGAAGCCTCCAGCAGCCCAGCCTCTCCACCTACCCTCTCATTGCTGCTCCCTGGCTGCTGGCTGCCATCCTCAGCCTCCCTCAAGTTTTCATTTTTTCGTTGCGAGAGGTGATCCAGGGCTCAGGAGTGCTGGACTGCTGGGCAGATTTCTACTTTTCTTGGGGCCCGCGGGCCTACATCACCTGGACCACCATGGCCATCTTTGTGCTGCCGGTGGTGGTGCTCACAGCTTGCTACGGCCTCATCTGCCAGGAGATCTGCAAGAACCTGAAAGTCAAGACCCAGGCTGGCAGGGAGGGAAAAAGGGGCTGGCGGACTTGGGACAAGTCCTCGTCTTCTGCCGCTGCTGCAGCCACTAGGGGGCTGCCGTCCCGGGTCAGCAGCATCAGTACCATCTCCAGGGCAAAGATCCGAACAGTGAAGATGACTTTTGTCATTGTGCTGGCCTACATTGCTTGCTGGGCACCTTTCTTCAGTGTCCAGATGTGGTCTGTGTGGGACGAGAATGCCCCCAATGAAGGCGAGTATGTGGGGTGTGGAGTGAGGTGGTGGGAACAGACAATAGGGTCAGGATAAGGATCACAGTGCCTCCCAGGGCCAGGTGAGACACAAATGAACGGAATATCTAAGAGTCGGTGCTTGCTTGTCTTAAAGCATCCTCTGCTGCTGTAACAAATACCCACCTAACACTTGAAGCACAGAAGTTTATCTCTCACTTTCCTAGAAGCTGGAAAGTCTGGGAAGGTTCTCTTTGAAAGTGGGGACTCTCTGAAGATTTCCGGGGTGGCGAAGGGCACCCCTGAAAGTGACCAAATTTGTTTTTATAGTATACATACTCTTATGGTAACGAACATTTCTTTTTCTTGCTAACTCATTAACCTATTAATTCTTAAGCCCCTAAAGTCTAATCAATTTCCAAAGGTCTCACCTGAAAGTACCTTTGACATAGGACTTTGAGTGTAAATTCTAATACAAGAATTCTGGGGACAGACATTCAGACCACAGTCTTGCCCAACGAGGTTCCGTCCAGCCCACTGAGGCTCTGTTGAGTGAATATCAGTTATGTGGAATTTCTTGATTTAGAAAGAATTAAGATTTATTTATTAGGTATATGATGTTCTGTCTGCCCAGCCAGAAGAGGGCGCCAGATCTCATTATGAGCCACCATGTGGTTGCTGGGAATTGAACTCATGATCACTGGAAGGGCAGCCTTAACCTCTGAGCCATCTCTCCAGCAAAAATTTCTTGATTTTTAAATTTTGTTTTCTTGTCTAACGATTTTAAAATAACCATGTGCTGCTAGCGAGAGACAATGCTTGTTCTGGAATAATGCAGAGATTAGAATGGCTCCTGTGAGAAAGAGGTTTTGGTGCATTTGCTCAGCCAACATCTAGATGCTATGTGAGCCTGAGGATCATAGACTAACAGATCTGAAAGGGGTTTCAAATAATCTGGTCCAGGGTGGCAATATTGGGCATGGGGACTGTCTTCTCTCTGAGTGCCCTTCCCTTCTGTGTCTGGACACAGCTCCATGGGTCTTTTTCAACAGCTACTTCTAATTAGTTAGGGCTGGCATATGACAACCCTTAGACCTCAACTTCAACTCCATCATTCTGTCACTGAGGAAAGGGAGGCTCAGAAAGGATCTATGACTAGCCTAAGGCCTCTCATCCATGGGGTGACAGAGTAAGGAGTAGAGAGCCCAACCTTTCAGATTTTCCCAGTCTTTCCTTTTCTTTTCTTTTCTTTCTAGCTATTTTATGAGTACAGATATTTTGCCTGAATGTCTGTGGACAATGTGTGTACTTGGTACACAAAAGGACAGAAAAGGGCGTTGGCTCATCTGGAACTGGGATTATAGACGACCATGAGTCTCTGTGTGGGGAGTGAGAATAGAACCCAGGTCCTCTGCAAGACTAGCCTCTTTCTTTCAACCCACGCCTTGCTACAACCCTGGTTCTTAACTTAGATCTACAAGGAGAGAGGCTTTCCCATTATCTGAAAAACAAAGTGAGATTCTTCAAAAAAAAAAAATTTAGCTCTACGTGGTACCAGAGGATGAAGTAGTCAGCAGCCTCCTGAGCTTCGGATACTGCAGGTGGCCCAAGATGACCTTGTGACTACTGTGCAGCCCAGACTGATGCCCAACTTTTGATCCTCTTACCTCTACCTTTGGACTGTTAGGAATACAGATATGTAACATCCTGCTTGGTTCTGTCTTTTTGACATTAGTCTGAACACGAAGGCATTTGCAAGTTTTTCTGTAAGCAATGAGCATATTAAATCCAACTTACTATTAAGCATACTAGCCAAGGCTAGACTAGTAGGAAGGGCTTCTTGGTACCAAGTATGTGGATCTGCGTGGTGTTATGGAGTGGCTTTCTCTACAGTGCCTTTGAGTAACTTGGAGCTCAGACTGACCTTAAAGCTGCTGGCCCAAGATGCCACTGCTAGTCGGTGATAGAGCCAGTACTTGAAACAGGTGGTTTATGGGCCAACTTCATCTGTTACATGGCTTTTCTCCCAACAATTACAGCCTGACCAATGACGCTAAGGATGAGGTAGCTTTTGCCCTTTACTGAATGATGTGTGGGAAGATGAATTCTATTTTCTCCGTTATTGGTGTGATTTAGCCCTGCTTGCCTGAAGCATCCATCTTTATTATTAGAGTGTCCCCAAGACATTGTCTACATAGACAGTGATTTCCCGTGGCTAAGGGCCTCTCTGACCCAGCAGTACAGAGACAAAACACTGTCCTACAATGTGCTCTCTGAAAAATAAAAGCAATAGGACAAAATAAAAGCTTTAGAATTATTCGTTCTGTACACCCCATTCTCCCATGGGTTTTGGTTAGACCTGTCTCCTTGTCCCGTTAGCTGAGTTGGTGCCTGGACTGGGTGTGGTGAATCTTCCTACAAGGGCTGAGAAGCAGAGCTTCCATGGAATCCGATGCTTCCTCGTGGCACACCCTCAGTCCTTACACTGTGCCTGGCTCAGATGGACTGAACTGAAACATGCTTCCTAAGGCATGGAATTTGTCCACCGAGGCCAAATGCCTTTGGCTTCTTCCCCTAAGACTTGTGGCTTTTATTAAATGTTCCCACCCTATGTCCTTTTTTTTTTTGTCCCAGAGGTGGCCTTATGCAGAGCACACCCAAGGCTTGGGAGTCACTCATGGTTGTCTTGAAGCTCTTGCATGTACTACTACTACTGCTGGACCTTTGATGTTAGTGGTGGTAGCTCTGGTGGGGTCCAGCATCTCTGCGTTAGAGACAGAAGGCAAGGAGTGGCAGTTCTTGTTGACTGTGCTAAAAGAACTGAAAGGTCAGCTTGTGAGTTTCCTACCAGGTCTGCCATTGCTTTAAAAAAATCCTACTTCTGTGAAGAAGCTAGTATGCCAGCTGCAGCAGTTCACAGATGTGTGCAGCAGGAGGCCAGGGCCATGCTAGCAGCTTTCCTATGCTGTGAGAAGTGTTTCCATTAAACTCTAGGAAGAAAATCGTATCCGAAAGGGATCTTATTGGACTTTTTCACCTGGACATTTTGTCTGCCTAAGACAGATCTAGTTTTGTTTGTTTGTTTTTCTCTCTTGAGGGAGCAGATTCCTAGCGACAATCTGGGAAGAAGATTGGGATCCAAGCTGATGCCCTGTGCCTACAACCTGCCCATCCCTGTCGTACTTGGGGATGGTGACAGACTTGCTGAGCAGCCATGTTTCATTCATTACCCTCCCAGGTCCCTAGCACAGGAACCTGCACAAGTCTGTGATCACATGTTCAGTGACCAAATGACGGAAAGACTGAGATTAGAGAGAAGAAGGAGGAAGCTGTCCATAGGGCCCCAAGAAGCCATTATAACGCAAGTGAGGGCGAAGTAGGGGGCCCTGAACTTGATTATTTTCCCTGAGGACGGTATAGACAGTGTCCCATCTTAAGCCTATATCCATTAGGGCCAAGGTCCTTCAACCATGTGTTGGGACCCCCTATAGAGTCACATAGGTGGATTTGGGGATTGAAAAAAAATCTTGGTGAGAGCAAAGAATTTTCGAATGTGCAGTGACAGATGATTTATTCAAAAGCAAATTCGTAATGAGTTGGAGGTGTTTCTGGCTATGCTCACCTGTGTTGCACCCTGTAGATCCACTGCAGCCTTGGTTCGGAATGTACACCATGCACACTCTGCACTGTGCACGCTGCTGTGCCCCATAAGCCACAGAATGCTGTGTGAAGTACCACAGCTCAGACCTAAAACTGCTGCGTGTCACAAATGGCAATGTTTTTACTGCATGTACAGCTGTTTGCTCTTGTAGAAATAGAAAGTTTTAAAGTGAAAACAAAGTCCAGCCACCCTTTCACAGGGGTCGCCTAAGACCACCAGAAAATACAGACATTACAGAATTTACATTATGATTCATATCAGTAGCAAGATTACAGTTATGAAGTGGCAACAAAAATAATTTTATGGTTGAGGGTCACCACAACATGAGGGACTGTATTAAAGGGTCTCAGCATCAGGAAGGCTGAGAACCACTGAACGAGGTGAAGGCTTGCATGAGGAGGCAGATAAAGATGGCTGAAGTTATCCAGCTGAGAGCTGACTGTCTTTGGAATGATATGTTTTACCTCACCATTTCTGAGGGTCAGGAATCCACATTTTGCCCCATAAGTTGGGTCCTATGGCTCAGAGTCTCTCACAGATAAGCAATCATGTCATCATCAGCCAGGTCTATAATCATCTGAAGGCTCAGCTGGGAGGAAATCTGCTTTCAAGTGCGCTTGTGTACGAGTTGGCTGGCAGGCCTCTGTTCATAGGCTGGCCACATGCGTTGATTCCTTGCCATGAAGGCCTCTCCACAGGCCTCCTTGCAAGCATGACAGTTGGCTTCTCCTACAGTGAAGGAATTTTACAAGTTTCATCCCAAGGTCTACTGACCTATTGCTTTGGGCCTGAGGCAAAGGAGAATGTGGCGAGCAGAGCATATGGAAAGAATGCTCTGTAGAAAGTAGAAAAATTCAAAATCACTCTTATTAGTTTTCTAACGTCGCTGCCCAGCATGCATTGAGTTAGCTTATCTTTGGATTGCACTGGATTGGAATGTTTGAGCTTTAAAATTTTTGTTTGAGTTACTGACTTGAGTTTCATTTTAAAAAATAACCAGGAGAGGAGGCTCAGTGGGGGAAGTGTTTGCATAAAAACATGAAGGCGTGAATTAGAATCGCCAGTATCCATGGGAAAAGCCTGGGTGGGGTGATGAGAGCCATGCTGGGACAGGAGGATAATGAATGATGGCTGTCTGGCCAAGTCTAGCCAATTAGTGGGCTCCCTGGTCGGTGAGATGTCCTGTGTCCAAAATAATAATAATAATAATAATAATAATAATAATAATAAATAATAATATGGAGAGTGATAGAGGAAGATGCTTGACATGAACCTCTGACCTCCACGCATGCAAGCATGTATGTATACACATATGCACATGCATATACACTACATACATGCATAAAAACATTAGGAGAAAATATCATTGAATGAATATTGATCTCAGATTGGGATCAAATTTCCAATAATATCTGAAATGCCTTTATAGATTCTTCTGTCATTTTATATTACATACTCATAGAAAATGACATTCCCAGCATTATACATTGAAAATACTACTCAACTCTGAGAAACATTGAAAATGCTCTGTGTCTTATAACATCAAATATTTGGCTAAGGTATGCCTATATGAGCACAAACAAGCACAGCCATACCATTGGCATGAAAACTTGTTTTAGTCTTTAATAAATATGTACCAAAAAATTGTTTCAAAGTAAATGTTTTGAACTACAGAGATCAGTAGCTACATCTTATGACAGAGAAACCCAGAAAATCTGCACTGTAATTTCAGTGACAGATATTTTAAAGAGTAAAAATGTGAGGGAAACAGGCCCCCCATCCCACCCCCCAAATCCATAGCAGCAATAGAGAGAGGAAAGATGTGTGGAAGATCTCCTCTTCATGACAGCCATAAATTGACATTTTAAAAAGACCCCCGCTGTTTCAGTGGATTGGTGACCTGAGACCCTCTGTGAACTTCACTCTTAAGAAATTCAGAGCAGCTCCTTCTCTCTAACTCCTCCATTGGGAACCCCTTGATCAGTTCGAGCTGAAGGAGCTGAAAGGGTTTGTGGCCTCACGAGGAGAGCAACAATACCAACCAGCCAGAACTCCCAGGGTCTAAACCACCAGCCTGGGAGCACATAGGAAGGGATCCATGGCTGCAGCTGTATATGTAGTGGAGGATGGCTTTGTCAGGCATACATAGGTGGGAGAGGAGATCCATGGTCTCATGAAGGATGGATGCTGAGTGGGGGGGAATTCGAGGGTGGGGAGGTGGGAGTCGGGAGGTGGGGGGCAATCTTCATAGAAGCAGAAGGGGGAATGGGGTAAGGGGATAACATCTGAAATGTAAATAAAATATCCAATAAAAACAAAACAACAGCAACAACAACAACAACAACAACAAACTCAGAGCAGGTGCTGTGGGTTTCTATGCTGGCCTTGGCCAGCAGAATACCACCAGGTGGTGGTGAAACTGAATCAGAGTCACACAGTGTTCAGTGATGTGGAAACCTAGCCAAAGCTACAGTCTGTGGGGGACTTAAAATTGGGCTTCAAGCAGAGCTTCAAAAAACTGAATATCGGAAATTTAAAATTAGTAAGTCAATAAAAAGATTCACGGAAGACTTCACCAAAATGATTGATCAGTGCTTGAAGACAGAATAGAGAAACTGAGTCAGTCAATGAAAAATGTAAATGAATAGGAGGGTACACACAAAACATTTGAGATCTAAGGGATACCCTGAGAAGACACGATCCACAAATCATGGGGACAGGAGAAAGAGAGAAATCTCATGCTAAAGGCATAAGAAAACATTTCCAATAAAACATACCTTCAAAACTCATCTATCATTGAGAAATACACATCCAGGTAAGGATTTAAACTACCAAATGGATACCACCAGAAAAGAACTTGCTCACATCCTATTATAGTTAAGGTACATTGGAAGCAACAGGAGAGAAACACCAAGTCACACAGAAAGACAAGCCCATCAGAGGGGCAACTGATTCCTCCACAGGCTCTACAAGCAAGGAGGGCGTAGAGGGATGTGTATCTACTCAGCCTTCAGTCCACCATAATTGAAACAGAAAGGAAACTCTCCAGGATGAAAGCAGACTAAAGGAACCCAGGACCACCAGGCTCTACATTAGACGCTGGAAGAACTCCTTCACAGCAAAGAGAAAAACACACATATCCATGAGGCCCCTGGAAAGAAGGAAATTAACTTCTTTATGATTTGTTATCAGTAAATGTTTCATTTGTCTACCTATATAGACACCCTAGGAAACGTTCATTTTCTTGGGTGAAGATGGGTCATACGGAGAGAAAGTTTAGAAAGCCTGCTTTAAACTTGAGGCTGGACTGGGTTATACAGTGAGACCAGGTCAAAGGAAGAGGAGGGAGCAAAGCCTCGCATTAGAGGATTCGTGGTCCAGATTCATGGTCAGGATTTTTTTTTCTTCTATTAGGACCAATGTCACACAGGGAGTGTTTACTTGAATCTGAACTTGAAGCAAACTATTCCTAAAGTTAAAAATCAACCAAAACTAGGGTAGTAAGACCTAGACTCAGGAATTACAGGTAAAGTCTGAGCTATGCCTATCTGATTATAGAATCCCAAGTAAATCTCTCTCCCCTCCGGAGAAACGTCTTCATCTGCTCAGTGGGGATTTAGCCTCTATCCTAGAGTCTCCCTCACCCACACGCCTGCTGACCCCTCTTGAGCTGTGATTCTAATGCCTTTTGTGCTTCTGTCTTGGCAGATTCTACCAATGTGGCTTTCACCATCTCGATGCTTTTGGGCAACCTCAGCAGCTGCTGCAACCCCTGGATCTATATGGGCTTCAACAGCCACCTGTTGCCACGTTCCCTGAGCCACCGTGCCTGCTGCAGGGGTTCCAAGCCCCGAGTGCACAGGCAGCTCTCCAACAGCAGCCTTGCTAGCCGCCGCACCACGCTGCTGACCCACACCTGTGGTCCATCTACTCTCCGTCTCAGCCTTAACCTCAGTCTCCATGCAAAGCCCAGGCCTGCCAGCTCACCGAAGGATTTAGAGCAGATGGATGGAGAAGCCACTATGGAGACGAGCATCTTTTAGAGAAGATTCCCTGGACTCTGGTTCTGCTCATCTCAGGCACTGAGAATATGGACTAGACGGCTCAGGGATGGTAGGAGGTGGAGTTTAGTTTGAGGCAGGGTGAAGAGGCCAGAATAGCTGCCACTGCTCAAGGCAGTGCTTAGTGTGGGTATGAGCCATTCTCTCTTAATTTTAGATCGCTGGAAATTCAACTCCCCTGTTCCCACCACATTCATAGAGCACCTGTAAACATACCCAACTGGTAGATATAGTGTTCTAGATCTGAGACAGCCTAGATGGCACTGTCAACGCAGAGGCTCATCTCATTACTTGGCTACTGTCACAATTCTAACCTGACTGGTGCATTGCAGTAGAACAAGGAGAGGTGAGAATAGATTATTAGAAAGGAAGATGGGTATGTGGGATTTTCAGCCAAGGCCACAGGGCTAGCATCTTCCTCCCTATCTCCTCCGGGGACCCAGACTTCCTTCCTCTGGGGCAGTGTGGAACAGACTTCCTTTTTGAAAAAAAAAAAAAAAAAGACGACATGATCATGGCTCTCGAAATCCTTGAAATTCTAGGGAAAGTTAGAATCAAGGTTTTAAATCTTTGCCCTGCCCTGGGAAGCCATCACCACTTTTCGGGCCTCAGCCTCACCTGCAGTGAGATAGTCCTGAAGGTCTTTCTCGGCTCTAGCCTTCTATGGCTTTGCAAGACTGGAATCGGGTACTAGTCCCCAAACACCAAAGATGTTCTAACCAACGGGCTCTTAAAATTGTTCCATTTCCATAACAATTCCATATAGTCTGGTCCCAGCTCTGGTAGGTCCTGTCACTGCCATATGAATCACGCTGACCTCAGTTCTGTGTTGTTGAGTCCTCCTCCAAGGTAGGAAGAGATGCCGAGGAAAGGTGAAAGCTAGGTCCTTACCCCTTCTTCCTAATATCTCCAGGGGAACTGAAATCTTAGGGGAACTTCTCCACCTCAGTCTGATTCCAAGGGACAGCCAAAACTATACAAAAGCACCGGCTGGCTGCAGGTCAGGAGGGCTGGGTCTGACTCTGCCCCAGCTGTGACCACAGTCAGTAAAACGCTGCGCCTGGCTATCTCAGGTATAAGAGTCAAAGTGGGTATACATGTGGTTTGCAATCACTGTGGATCTACAAGCTTTTGAGCAAAATTCTCGGGAACAGGCTCGCTCTGCACATTCCTAGGGACACTTTAAAAAGTCGCTGTGGCAAAGACACTTCCCATGTGCCTAGTTTTTGTTTTTTTGTTTTTTTGTTTTTTGTTTTTTTTGTCAACTTGACACAGACTATAATCATCTTGGAGAGGGAACATCAATAGAGGAATCACTTCTAGCAGATTGGTCTGTGGGTGTTTTTTAAACTGGTGATCGATGTGGAGGGTCCGGCCCACTGTGGGCAGTGCCACCCTTCAAAAAGTGGCCACAGGTTGTATAAAAAAGAAGGCTGACATGAAAAACATGCATACAAGTAACACCATTCAGACTGAGCGGTTTGTATTTAGGAACGCACATGTACATAAATGTATGTAACAATAGTTAATGAGAGAAGGCAACGGCTTTGAAAAGGAGAAGGTAAGGGTATACAGGAGGGCTTAGAGAGGACAGGGAAGGAGAAATAAATGATGTATGGCACTAAAACTTCAAAATAAAAGAAATTACTTTAAAAAAGAAGAAGGAGAAGAGGAAGAAGGAAGAGGAGGAGGAGGAGGGGGAAGAGGGGAGGGAGGGAGGGAGGGAGGGAGGGAGGAGGCTGATCAAGCTATGGAGAGTAAAGCAGTAAGCAGCGCTCCTTCATGGCCTCTGCTTCAGTTTCTAACTCCAAATTCCTGCCTTGACTTCCTGTCTGGAGTTCCTGCTCCGACTTCCTCATTGATGGAGTGTGATCTGGGAATTATAAGATGAAATAAATATTTTCCTCCCCAAGTTGTTTTTTTGGTCATGGTGTTTATCATAACAACAGAAAACAAACTAGGGCACTTCTTTAAGAGCCAGTCTGTCATAGGAAGCCTACTTAGGATTCCTTAAAAGAAAAGAACCCAAGTTGTATATGCTATGACTGAGCAGAACACCCAACCCTTGAGTACTAGGGAACTGGAGAGCAGCAAACAGACACTGGTGGGCAGAGCAGGTCAGTGCTAAAGGTGAAAGGCAGGAGGGGGTCACCTCCTCTTTCTCTGTCCTGTGACTTCTGTTGCCAAGGCAATCCCATGCATCTAACCACCTCTCCTCTGCCTTGGATGGAGTACAAGCAAGTGGGATCTGTGGGGAGGGAACCAAACCATTTCTGAGACCCAAGCCCAGGATAAACAGAATCATGCTGCTCTGTGTTGGAGTGTATTGTAAGTTCATTACACCAGCATCTTAAAATCTACAGAGGAAGTCTGAGCCTGAGTCCACAGGCTCAGCTCTGCAGGAGACTAAGGCTTGTAAGTGCAAAAACTACTTCTCATGCAACAGGGCAAATTCAAGACCAGATTGGATATTTTAGCAAGACCCTGTCTTAAAAAAGAAGAAGGAGAAGAAGGAGGAGGAAGAGGAAGAGGAGGAGGAGGAAGAGGAGGAGGAGGAGGAAGAAGAGGGGAGGAGGAGGAGGAGGAGGAGGAGGAGGAGGAGGAGGAAGAAGAAGAAGAAACAGAAAAGAGCTGGAGGCACAGCTCAGTGGCAGAGCAATCCCTTATCAAGCAAACCAAATCCTAGATTTAAGCCCCTGACCCTAGTATCGCAAAAGTAAACAAAACCCAAATGGGTGTAGTGGTAGAACCTGCTTGCTGGAAAACATTCAGTGCTTTCTTTCCATGGAAGGAACAGTTGGGGCCCAGATCCACACACAAGTAAATTCTCCTTGTGTAAGTCACAAGAGAAAGTACAGGAGAAGGCAGACAGGGATTCGTGAAAACAAAGAGTAGGAGCCAGGATTGAGAGTTCTATATAGTGAGAACCTGTCTTATAAAAGTAAACCAGAAACCCCCAGGAAGGAATAGAACACCAGGTCCACGCAGGGCAGTGTGGATATCAGTGTGTGGGAGACTGAGCAGGGAATTGTGGGGATTCCTTGGGATAGATTTTTAAGTTATTGAAACCAGCTACTTATTTTCCAGGTGGCTATCTTGTATTTTGTATGTAAATAAATCTTTGATCTATCAAGTGGCTATTAATGAAGCCCAGGCTGCCACAGTTCCCTTCTAGGTCCAGAACTTCAAAGTCCTGGTTGAAATTAATCAATATGACTCTTAAAAAAAAAAAAAAACAAAACAAAACAAAACAAAACCTGGGAGGCAGAAGCAAACGGATCTCTGTGAGTTCGAGGCCATCTTGGTCTACAGAAAAAAAAAAAAAAGAGTGAAGGTATCGCGTCTGCAACCACAAGGTGGCAGTGTGGAGCTGGAAGAGCAGGTCCTGTGTGTGTGCCCTCCCCATACCGACACCCAAACTGGGCAGGGCTGGGCTAGGTGCCTAGTCTTTCTGTAACTTGCTATATACACTGTGTTCAGATTGATATCCCTGGGAGGCCTGTTCTTTTCTGAAGGGAACCGGCTAAGTGGATCTGAGGGAGAGCAGAGGTATGTGTTTGGGGAACTGGGAAGAGTAGAGGGAGGGGAAACTGTGGTCCGAACGTAACGAATGAGAGAAGAGTATATATATATATGAAAAAATAAAAGAGTCTGGTTGAATCGGGCGATGGTGGAATGAGCGCCTAATCTTGCACTTGGGATGCAGAGGCAGACGAATCTCTGAGTCGGAGACCAATCTGGTCTACAGCCAGGGCTACACAGAGAAACCCCGTCCTAAAACACCATAAAAAAAAGCAAATAAATAGTAATGAATACGTAAATCAGGTTAAAGCTCCAGTGTATTGACACCTACCCACCACCTCACCCCTACCTTGAATATCCTGAGGCGACTATAAATCCCAGCTGGGTGGGGGAACTGGGAAAGCCAGCCTTAAGAGTGCTGGTTCCTCATTGACTTCCTTCTACCTTAGGTCACAGAGGTGCATCTGACAAGGAGGACGTCTAAGAGGCTTCTGCCGCTGTGGGAAGATTAAGTGTGGGAATGCCTTGGAAAAACTGAAGACATATGCAGGACTGTTTGAGGGAGGACAGGGTGGGGATCTTGTTGAGCCTGGAAATCCACCTTCATCGGAGGAGCAGAACCCCACTAAACACCTCCTGCCCTGGGTCCAGCTCACTGATGGCATGGCGGTGGAATTCTGTTGTAGCTCTGAGGTGACTTTTGCATACATGTTCCTTCAGAACAAGAATGCAGAGGCGGCCTTGTTTGCTGTGGCCTGTCTTTCCAGACACACAATCATTTACTGGCTGCTAAAGCACATCAATTTTTCTGCATCTTATTATAACCAGATTGGGAAAATTTTCATCCAGTACTTCCCCCAGTGGAGGAGCCCAGGGAGAACAGCATTCTAGCTCCCCAAGGGAATGTACCTAGAGCTGGAAACAACACTCCCGTCCTCAAAGGGTGATTATTTCTTCAGCCAATCCTCTAAATTCATGGGACTATCACAAACAAAAGCTCTTTGATTGCTGGTGGAGTGGTATCTGGCCACTGAAGGTTACAGTCATTCTCTATGGTCTACAGCCTCACTTTCCTTGGTTTCAGTTACAGTCAACTGGAGCTGAGAACACTGACCAAAATATGCACACCATGCTCAACGCTGTGATGAAATCTCGTCCCATCCTACTCCCTCCTGCCTCGGACATGAATCATCTCATTGTCTAGCAAAGCCCTGGCACAGGTGCTACCCATCCACCAGTCAATTAGCTACACTGATTATAGGACTGATTATCACAGGGTGACATGCACCAAAGAAGAGATATCGACTTTATTAGTCTTGCTTTATTTTATCATTGCTATCATTTATCATTGGCACCTTTAACCTGTGCAGCCGTCTTGCCTGTCCTATTTTGTTTTTTATTATTTTTGTGGGGGTGTGAGTACACTGCTATGGTCTAACGCCCACCAGCATAGCTGCAGCCATTCTGTCCCATGTCTGCCAGCTACTTCATATTGTAGCTGTGGCAGGCCTGCCAGTCACTGACACAGAGAAGTGACTTGGCTCAAGGACACGCTGACCACATAACCCTGTTTTGTTCTGTATGTTCTGAATGTTATGTATGAGGTTTGCTAATCAGGAAATTCCACAAAGCTTTACATAGAACCCATCAAATCAAAGGTCAATATGAACTGTTATGTCTAAAATATCTTGAGTCAGAGCTGACCACTCGGCAGCCCTTTCTGCACCGACGTATGAGCTCACTGTGGTTTTTGTGGCTGACATTGATGAATGCTACTAATAAGTCAAAGGTTATGATTATAATAGTCATTCTCTGTTATCTCAGTGTTCAGAAATTCTCTGTTCACCACCCATGTACCAACCCTCCTTACCTTACTCA